GTAAAAAACATCGCTACTGGGGAGACAAAGGCGGTCGGGCGTGGTGCTGGTCACCAAACCCCCTTCGTGTGCCGTATCGGCCTTCATAGGGGCACGCTCGCAACACTTGCCCCAATCGTCTGTTGAAGGCTACTCTGGGGAGTTTTGTCTTTGTCCCAGCACCAGAGGCGAAGCTGCCCGGGGGGGCAAAACCTGGCACGGGTAAGAGGCTCCCGTGGCCCGCAGAGGGGGGGCACCGCTCGACAGCGGCGTCTGGCCCATGAATCGAGTCGCATAACAGGAGAGGGAAAACCCGAAACCATTCATCAGAGCCTCCGCAAAGCTCCCCCGCGACAGAGGCGCTAGGTGGGGTCTCAGCTCGCTGCGTGCAGGTTGCGGCTTCAGGGCGCCGCGGCGGCGGCGGTTACGCAACGTGGAGACAACGGCACGGGGGACGCGAGTCGCGGGAGCTGATTCACTTGGACCCGTGGACGGAGCAAAGCGCCTCTCCGTTGGTTCGGTGGCGGCCGTGATGTAGGTGGGTGGCGCGGAGGGGGCGAAATATACGGAAATAAACTTTCATCGCTCTCGACGAGTATTTCCCAGGAAGTGATCGAACAGATACATAAATGAAGGCACAGTCAACGTCCCCGTGGATTAATGGTTGCAGCTTTGTTGGAAGTCAACAGTTGTTATTTTATGTGGAGAATGACTCCTGTCAGAGAAATGTGGGGGATTTCCACCACTTGCTCAGCAGCCACGAGCTGACTCATCGATCACAGGAGGAGTGCTTTACGTGGCTCACCTCCTGGCTTCCTAAGGTGTCCTCGCACGTACAAAACACTTCTTATAAAGGAACTGGCCAGCCATGCCAACGCAGACACTCTTGAAAGAAATATACATACACAGACGACTTCCATTTTCTGACAGCTCTTCACGAGTCCACTGCTGGAGGAAGGCCTCCCAATGCTGCCCGTTGTTGTCTGGCCACCCTTCACCACGCTGCTCAGCGCGAGTTGGCGGACACAGTGATCGCCCAGGGCCAGTCCAGAGACAGCCACTCTACAACCGACGTCAACCGCGACCGGGAAATCCAACTGGGTTCACTCGACACTATTTATATATATATATATTGTAAAAAATGCATAACGAAACGACGTTGCAGTTTTGAAGCTCCCTTTGCGAACGAACGAGATCCGCCGTGGCGAGGGCGACGCTCGCAAGCAGCAGCCGGAGCAGGGTCCCGAGGCTTTGCTCTGTTTTTTATTGTATTTCTCTCTTTCCTGTGAAAATGGCGCGCTTGTGACGGAGGCCGCCACCGGTGACTCACGGCCCAGAGGGCCCGGCTGGCTCCTCGCCGCTCCCTCCCGGCGGCCGCCGCGTGGCCCCCACCACCACCAGCACCACCGCCGCCACCACCACCAGCACCACCCCCACCACCACCACCAGCACCACCGCCACCGCCGCCACCACCAGCACCACCGCCGCCACCACCACCAGCACCACCGCCACCACCACCACCAGCACCACCGCCACCGCCACCACCACCAGCACCACCGCCACCGCCACCACCACCAGCACCACCGCCCCCACCACCACCACCACCACCACCGCCACCGCCACCACCACCAGCACCACCGCCACCGCCACCACCACCAGCACCACCGCCGCCACCACCAGCACCACCGCCCCCACCACCACCAGCACCACCACCGCCGCCACCACCACCAGCTCCACCGCCCCCACCACCACCAGCACCACCACCGCCGATGCGCCGTTTGACGGCCGCTTAACGCTCACCGAGAGGGGGGGGGTAGTTTTTTGTCGTCGCTTTTGAGTATTTGGCTGCTGCAACAAGTTTCTGCGTGACAAAGCGATTTGGGTGATAAGCAGGTGCCTTCTGAAAAAGAGCTACATTGCTCAGGGGGCCTTACACCTGGTAAAATAATTAAAATGTTCTAGTTTAGTCATCCTGCGCTGCAAATGAACGGTTACAATGATGCACAAATCAGCAGGGTATTGAATACCAAAACCAAATCAAATGACAAGAGCATTGAAACTGCCCAAGTACTTAAAACGATCAAAATACCGTTCATTGCGGGAGTAACTGATAAACTAGCCAGATGTTTGGAAAAACAAAACATCCGAGTCAGATTTGGCACGGTACATAAAATACGGAAATGAATATCTGGTACAAAAGATGTATTACCGAAGCTATCAACAGAAGGTGTGTACCGGATTAACTGCACTTGCGGTAAATGTTCTATTGGGCAAACAGGACGAATGATCAGCACGAGACTCAAGGAACATCAGATAAATACTTCCAAATGCAACTGTCAGCAGTAGCAGAACACGCGTGCCAACAAGGACACTCAATTGATTTTGATAATGTTGAAGTTTTTGCAAAACTAGCTACTACTGGCCAAGACTAATTAGAGAATCTATCGAAATTGAAAGAAATCAAAATAACTTTAACGTTCGGATAGCTACCGCCTTAGTGCTGCGTGGAAGCGAATCATCAAATAATAAATTATTTAAATGCATGCCTACAAAGGGCAGCGTACTTCAATAGGGATTACCGTTGGTAGGGCTATTTTATTAAACACAATAGACAGGAAGGACAAGTTCAAAGGGCTCGCATAGTGCACATGCATAATGTACGTTGCCTCAGTCATCCCCCCCCCCCCCCCCCATCATTGTGCAAGGAACAAAACATTTCGACTTCTCCACAAATCTGGCTGTCGCCTGATGAAGCTAGTTGTAATTACTAGCGAAACGTCGTACTCAGATTCTAAATGTTGTGGCTTGGCTCTCCAACACACCAGCGTGCTGTCCTAGTGACGAATTGGCCACGTTCTGTTTACGTGACAACCCTTACTAGTTGGCTGTGTCGGGTGGTGGTGGGGTTTTAATGACACATTTATATATTTACGCGATCTGACCCAAAAACCTCTATTATGGATGATATAGGTCGCGAAAGCCTACGTGTTAAACGGTGTTGAGATGGTCAAACACCAATAAGATACCTTTTGCAAGGCATCAAGTCTGCATTAACAACACGTACCTGTGCCAAAACACGCAAACAAAAACATGCTCTGAAAATAGATGGCATTGTCTTTGAAACTAATTGGCTACAGCCTTATTTATGACCTGGTCTCACCAGTGGCAGATCAGAGAACGCCAGAAGGCGAACAGCCCAAAGACAATGTACGTATCAGAGCATGTATAGCTCGGGCTGAGCAGTTATATCATGGCACCTCTTTTGGCAGTATCAAAGTAAGAAAACCAAGGTGCCATGATCGAGCTGCTTAACCCGAGCAGCTACGTCATGCATGCCGAGACCATAAACTCACTTCACTTGAGAACCCAGCTTAATTACATCTCAGTGTATGCGAGTCTATGGGTCTCTTTTTAAGTCTCTATGTGAGTATATGCGTCTATACGGGTCTCTGTGGGAGTCTACGGGTCTCTATATTAGTCTGTGGGTCTATTTGTGAGTCTAAGGGTCTCCATGTGAGTCTATTGGTCTCGATGTAAACCACCAGTGACAGGCCTGGGACCATCAGCTCACGACACTTGGGAACGCAGTCTAATCACAGGCGGCTGAGACCTGGATTGGAGCCCGGGATCTGAGCAGCGGCGGCTACACAAGGAAGGGCATCACGTGTCCCACGGGGTCGAGCGCTGCACTCGAAGGTTACGATTATGCAATCGTGAAGATAAATAATTATATATATTACTCATCATCATCATCCTAGCCAACAGAATCGACTGCTTTAATCTCGCTTCTCAAATTGGCACAATGAAACCTATTGCATCAGTATGATCAAAACATTGTTTGCGATCAGCAAAATATTCACCGTGCGCTCGGTTTAAAACTATGTACTATTGCGTTCGTGAATAATTCAGAATGTTTTCTAATTTATAAATGAATTATAGATGCTGCGAGCGAATGCAGGGTTGACTGTGGCACGTTCATTGCCTCACCGCGGTATTGAGAGAGAGAGCACCTCTGATGGAGGACCATTGCCCCAAAACGTTCATCGTCATCAGCCATGACCAATGGATGAGGGCCTTCCCAATTCGCCACCGCATCCCTCGAGGCCACGCAATGCCGTCACGGTGGACGTGCCCTCGGACGCGTTCCCTCTGTGGGCTGCCACTCCATCCTTGGTCTTGACCATCGGCCATCGCCCCCCTCTACCGACGTGTCCCACCCGGGCCGCCTCTTTCGAGCTCGCTCAATCTCATCGGCGCACCGTTCGCTCAACTGCGCATGCGCGAACGAGTGGGTTGGGAAGGCCGGCGGTGGGGAGTGACGGCCGCCCGCTGCCGTACGTGTATGCACGACCAATGGGAAGGGTTCAATCTCCAACTATGAGTGAGTAAAACTTCTCTGGACTCTACCTCTCTGCCCTGAAGAAGGGTGAATGCCCGAAACGTCCCCGTCCTACATGTTGTTTTCCTTTGCAGGGCAAAGCCAATGACGTGTTCCTCTGCTAAGCGTTGCTAATTTATCTTACAAATGCTCTGGCTTAGCGAGTTGGGCCCTTCCTCTCAAATCCCCTCACTCCCTCCCTATCCCCTCTGCGGGGAAAATGGAAAATGACTTTGTTCATCCAAGTAGGATGTGCTTCGAGGACGCTGCGTTATTAATCCGCCAACTACGCGGACGCCCGTTGCGTCTTCAGCGCGCGCGGATCTTTATCAGCTGGGTCTGTCCGGCTGAGCGACTCGTAAACAAATCCCACACCCGGCACACCATATCCAGTATACCCTGTTACCCTAGATGTGGCTTTCAAACGACGTGCCTTAATCCAGTCTGTCAGAAACCCGGAAAATATTTCCAGACCCGGCACACCACATCCAGACTGGTAGTGACCACAGCCACAGTCTACCAGCGACCCAGAATGCATTTTCTCACACTTGGCCCACCACGAGCAGCATACCTCTCGCTCTGACCGCAGACGCTAAAATATGACTCGGTAAGGAATGTGAAACCCGCGTAGGTCTTCACTGACCGCCGAAGAAGCTCTTGGTCCGCAGGAAGCTGACGCTGAGCCTCAGGATGGAGAGCTTGTCCAGCTTGGAGATGACGTCCGGAGGGAAGGGCAACATCCCGGCCAGGCGCTCCATCTCCGCGTTGAGGCGGTCCCGGTGCCGCTTGGAAGGATTCGTCTTCTTGGGCACCACCACTTCCGCCTTGGGGCTGCGAGGTGCACACGAATGGGGGGGGGGGGGTGTTGTGCAGGGTTACACGCGTGAATGTGTGTGTGTATACGCTCGGTGCTCGCTAACAGCGCTTGCCCCAAAAGTCGCTTCAAGCTATCGGCTATAGGGGGATTTGTGTCTTTGTAAATACATTGTGCGTTATACACCACAGCAGGTACACATTTGAGACTGAGTCACCGAAGTTTAGCGCGCTGCGCTACGAACCCGGCGACCCGGTGTTTCATTTACGCTCACGACCAACACCAGAGACGATTATCTCAACTGCTACTGGGGCTTCCCTAGGTCGACTCAGCCTCAAATGAGTACCTGGTGCAGGGGGTAAACATCGCCATTGCCGTGCCACTTTTCCTAGGTCCGTAACGGTTAAATGAGGGATCTTGATCTTAGTGTGTTTGTGTAAAGCTGCACACACACACAGACTCTCAATTGTATTTCATACTTGCAGGATTACACAGACGTGTGCGCATGCATTGCTACGCACACGTATTTATCCGTCGATATGCATGCACAAACACGTGTACATGTAACCCTGCACACACAAGTGTGTAACTAAGCACGTGCATATACACACGTGTAACGCTGCTTGCTATGTACATGTACACACGTATGTAACTATGCATATTTACACACACGGGTGGGTAATTATGCATGTTATACACTTACAGACGTGTGTAACTTCTGTTAGCGAGCACCTATGAAGGCCGGCATGGCACATGCCGCCTTTGTCTACCTCGTGGCGATGTTTACACACCGCACCAGGTACTCATTTGAGCCTGAGTCGACCTAGGAGAGGCCCAGGACCGTTTCTGATAATTGTCACTGGTGTTGGCCGCGAGCGGGAATCGAACTCGAGTCGCCAGGTTCGTAGTGCAGCGTGCTAACCGTTATACCACCACTCCCCGCACCAGGGTTACATAGGCACACACACATTTGTGCATGTAAATCTTCACACACACACACGCAGGGTGTTGATTTTCAAGTGACAGCAAAACGTGACACCGAAAATAACCACTCTGCACTATCTACGAACACGTGGAGACACAGACGAAGTGGCAGGTTGCACTCAACAACAACATCTTAAAGCTCCCAACTTCACGTGACATGCGGAAAAGTTGAAGTGTATTCCAGCGATGCCCCGGTGTAGGTGCAGGTGATGCGTTCCTGAAATGAATGTTCGACGAACGAACGTCGAAACGACGTCAATCGAAGCGGTTGTACAGGGTCAAATGGGTGGAGGCGACGGATACTAGAGAAAGGGCGGAAGCTGCTGTCAGCGACGACGTGAGTGTGCGTGTGTGGGGTCGAGGCGACGCGAATCGGGTAGCGGTGTTGATAATAAAGTGACTACGTACTTGCGAAATGACGTAAAAGGAGGGAAGACGTAAATCGAGGCAAGACTGTAAATCATGAAAATATAAGAATTGTTTTTTTTTACCCTTTCTGTCAATAAATAGGTGTTAAGATGTAAAAACAAGTACAGCATTAACAAACACAGTACTTGGTGAACATGCAAACAAATTTGCTCTGATCATTATCTCAAGGCCGTAATTATAATATATATTGGGAGGGGACACATATTCAAATATGCTCAAAATGTCCCCCCCCCCAAATATATTGCTGTAAAAAATATTTCTGTTTATATGATTGTGGTTATGGTTGTACTTTATTAATCCTTAATATTTGCCGTTACATACCATGAAACAAGAAAAGGTGAAAAAATAAAAAACAGAGCAATGCAATACAATACACTATTAGATATTATTGTAAAAAATAAATCCATCTTACGTGCGTGTTAGTGATTTTTGAAAAATATTTTAGGCAGGAAATGAGTTTTAAAATTGAGATTTTTTTTTCTGGAAGATTTGGTCCCCCCCAATGTTGACTCCAAGGCTACGGCCTTGCAACATCTGATGCATCGTCTTTGACTGATTGGCCTACACCAGAGACAGCTGCCTTCTTTGTGGCCTAGTCTCACGACCAGTGTCAGGCCAGAGACCAACGCCAAAAGCGAACAGCACAAACACAATGCCACAAATATATAATCGCATCAGAGCCGTGTTAGTTTGCATGTTCACCACAAGTAGTACTGCGTCTGGTCAATGTAGTAACTTGATTCCTCGCAAAAGGGTTTCTATTTGGCGTTTGAACATCTTATCACCTCCTACTTTAATACCAGAAAGGGTAAAAAACCTATTTTTATTTTTGCATGCTTTGATGCTGGCGAGAAAGGGTCCCGTGATCGTGTAATCACTTCCACGTAAGGTGGCAGGGCCTTTCACGCGAGCTGCTGAGAGTAGAAGCCTCACACTGCCATCGACGGCGGAGCGACCGAACATCGATTGTCGATCTTCCGCTCTCCAGAGCAACAGCAACAAAAAACACGACCCACGTGTTTTATTTTACATATATATGTACAAGAAGCGACGACCACGGAGCTCTGTGAAATGAAATATGGACAAGCGTGGCCGATTAATCGATCATATGCGGATACTATTGCTGGTATTTTGTGGGGTTTCATTTTGTGTTTTGATCGCTCATGAACAACGCTCCTCTCGATGCGATGACAACGCTGCGGTAGATGTAAACTCGAATTGCGCTGCTGGGGTCGTGAAGTTGACAGCGGTTTTGAGCGTTGATGGCGTCTGATGAAGAACAGCTTTGTAACCAAACTGTGTACCTCTGCAATGGCCGACTCACAACATCTCATTCGTAAATAAAATAAACTAATTAAAATACTCAAGCCGCAGTGTTACGATTGTGGCCGTACAACCCAAACTATGGACCACACAGTAAAGCCATAGAGACACACAGATGTTGCTGTACATTCGGTACAATTAATGCGATTGTGTCGTTAAAACCCGCCACCACCCGACACAGCCAACTAGTAAGGGTTGTCACGTAAACAGAACGTGGCCAATTCGTCACTAGTACAGCACTAACCGGTGTGTTGGAGAGCCAAACCACAACATTTACAATCTGAGTACGACGTTTCGCCAGTAATTACAACCGGCTTCATCAGGCGATAGCCAGATTCGTGGAGAAGTCCACCTGCCTCGTTCCTTAGAGGCGTAGACGTGGTGACCACCCTTCTGCGCTCTTGAGTCAACGTACATGATGCATGCGCATTATGCGAGCCCATTGATCTTGTCCTTCCTGTCCATTGTGTGTAATAAAGTAGCCGTACCAACGGTAAACTACAGAGCGTAGAGTCGCCCACGGCAAGTCTGCGCTTCCTCAATGGAGGAGGAACAGCAAAACCACACGGGCGCTCTTGTGAAGCCCTCTCGTCCGTGGCCAGCAGACCCCGACGCTCGCACGAAGCCCCTGAACATTCCTTGCTGCCAGCATACGCAAGCACAGAACTCCGCAACGCAGAAGCGGGATGATTTAACGCGTGCTTTAATTGCCCATCGCATCAACACGAGTCGCACGGCACGACTGCATTCACGATTTCATTGTCATAACTCGTGTTGTTGTCTGGCGCGTAAAGCCAACGGCTACGCTGCGATGACCGTTGTTGTTGTTGTGGCGTGGCCGCTGCCTCCACTGGTTTCGAATTTTGCTCCGAGATTGAGTGGTGCAAGAAACCAGCACCATGACCACCGCCACTCGCATCGAATTTCGCTCCGAGATTGAGTGGTGCAGGAAACCAGCACCATCAGCACCATCACCACCGCCGCTCTCATCGAATTTCGCTCCGAGATTGAGTGACGCACGAAACCAGTACCATCAGCACCGTCACCACCCTTATTCGCATCAAATTTTGCTCCTGGATTGAGTGGCGCAGAAAACCACCACCAGCACCATCGCCACCGCTGGGATCGTAAAACTCCCGCATTGCGCGCAGACCATCACAGACACTGCGGCGCGCGCGATAAGATAACCTTCGACCACGGCATTCGTGTGTTTGTCCCCTCCGCGGTGGAGGCGACGGAATTTAGAAGAGTCGCGCACAGTTCAGCTCGGAGTGGATCAAGGAAAAGTCGGGGACATGATTGTGCATTTTGTTTTTCAACGATTAGCGAACAGGGAGGTGCGCACGTGTGGAGAGACGTGGAGAGAGCGAGAGATATACACGGGGGGAGAGAGAAGCTCGCGGAGACATCGGCAAGGGGAGAGATAAACAGATGGAGGAACAGAGACGGGGATAGAGATGCAAGGGGAGAGAGAGACGGAGCAACGAGAAGACACGACGGTACACGCGTGTGCATCTGGCGTGCTTAACACGTCGATTCAGCGTGCACGACATGCGACACGTGTGTGCGCGCGCGTGCACGTGTTGCGTTTCTTCACACAGCACGTGCCACGTACTGTACACGAGTGGAACCCCACCGCGATTGGCATATCTCTGAGCCTCACACGCATCGTCGTCATCCACTGTCTCTATCCGCTGTCGTATCAACGCCTCCTACCCACGCCATCGCCGCTCCTCGCGGCCCTGCAATTCCACATTCCATCTCACTCCAGCACTTGAAACTAATCGCATCGCTCCATCTCCGCGGCGGCGTTCGTCCTCTCCACGACGTTCCCTCATTTGCCTGCCATTCCTCACCAACGTACCCGTCGCGTTTCGCCCATTCGATTCGCGTCTTATTCGTGTGCTTCGTTTCAACACGCGATGATCCGAAACCAATGTTCTGTTCGCGTCCCCTCCTGTGTTGCTCTGCACGCGTGGAGCGGTGACGCAAGTATCTTGAGCGACAAATCCGGCAGCCGATCCGAGTTACATTCCGTGCCACTGCCAGCATCGATATCTCTCCACCGGTCTTGCTCTTCACCACCAACGCCGATTCACCAGTCGGCAACTGACCAATGTGACGGTGGAAGTGTGGTCGACCCCCCCCCCCCACCGACGCACCCACCCGTGACTGACACGGCGTGGGGAGGGAGCAACTCATCCAGCAGTGAAGTCTCGTCGCGAGTGGATTGGCGATCCGAACCCAATTCCTCCTCCCCTTCATTTGCCCCACGAGACTGAGTGCGCGCTGCGTGCCTGCTGCCGGGGTGTGCGGGAGACAACTGCTAGGGCCCCCCCCCCCTCCTGACGCTGCGCTTAGGGTCTCACGGACTCGGGGAGCAGCTCCTAGTGTGTGTGTGTTGGTTTTAACCGCGGGTTTTTTTGTATTTGTGTGATTAAATTTAGTTCTGCTTTTTTTTTAGATCTGCACAGTAGCCTGCGACCGCCGGGTGAAATGTGCTTACGAAGTTTAAATCATTATTAGTATTACATTTCATTATCAATATCAGCCGTTTTCGGTTCCCACGCTCATATTGCATGCTCTCTATATACCGTACTTATATCAATTCACCCGGAGGTGTGGAGCGGTGGCGCAGTGGTTAGCACGCTGCACTGATGCCAGCGAGCCTAAGTTCGCGATTTCTGCTCACGGTTAACACCGAGCATGAAGAGCACTTGAGAAGCACGTGGAGGAGAAATGAGTGGCGCAGCGCTACTGCCATGGACCCTGATTGCGATGAATTCAAGATGAACCCCTTAACTAATTCACCCCCCCCCCCCGGTCCATGGGCCGTCGATGCAGTTGCATCATCGGCGCACTGGGTCAGCGACAAATCTCTTCCTCCACCAACCGGCCACTGGCATGCGTGGTTAAATATGGTCAAACATCCCCCCACCCCCACCTACTCGCCCTCCCCACCGCGACGGGCACTGCCTAATGAGGCCATTTCATCCAGCAGTGGATTTTCAAAGGGTACTATGCAATATATATCTTGAGCGAATGGAAGCTGGCGAATGGAATGTACGTTGCGGTGGTTGTTGTTGTCTGTTGCGAATGGTCCCAGTGTATTTCGTTTAAATCTATGCACGGCGCGTATTATACCGCAAAAAAAAACCTCCTACGGAGTTTTGTTAAATGGACCCTCGAAACAGACACACAATATGCAAAGGGTTTAGCTTCTCCGGTGGGCTACCGCAGGGCTCACAGGGCAGCGGGTGGGTGCGCTGAGCGAATAGTTTATAAAAGGGGCACAGATGTTTGAAATTACAATGATGATGATCATTATTATTATCATATCAGGGTCATTGTTTGATCATTTGGGGGCAATAATTACCAGTGTTATCTATAATAAAGGTTTTTTTAAGGGGGTTAGATCGCGTAAATATAAAGTGTGTCGTTAAACCCGCCACCACCCGACACAGCCAATTGGTATGTTTTTGTCACGTAAACAAAACGTGGCAATTATTTACGAGTACAGCACCACCGGTTATATATTTATTATATTTACGCGATCTGACCCAAAAACTCTCTTATGGATAATATTGATCGCAAAAGCCGACTTCGTGTTAAATTCCCAGTGTTGTTGAATTAAGGAAAGTCAGTTGCACGTGAACGCTTTCTCCTCTCTGATTCAGCGTCACACCCCACAGACTGCGTCTACTTTGCAGCGTGTATCACGAGTGGTTGAAGCAATTAAAAATTCGGACCGAACCTTTTAATTTTTTCAAGAGTGTCCAACTTTTAAAGTTTTTAAAAATATATATTATTCGAGTTATAATGCCCGTGCCAACTTTTTGGAGCTCCGTAAACATTCCGGCACAGAATTATAATGTCCATCACTCACTCACTCAACGATCGTCTATTGATATCAGAAGATGTGTGGAATTGGGGTAAACCCTGACGAGAAAGACCATCTCTCGACTGCGGTAAACACCGACGGCGCAATGGCGTTAGGGTCGTCTGGCGCGTGCCTCCTCCTACTGCGAGGCATGACACGGGGAGGACGGTGGGGGGCTGCTGTCCAATGCATTACTCTTCCACTTCAGTGGCCGGTCCTTGGGACCTCCCTCTGGCCCCGTAGGCACCGGTGCAGTTGCACCGCCTGCACACGCAATAGCTACGCCACTGGCCAAGAGAACTCCCGTGAAACCGACCCCCCCCCCCACGCCCCCCGCATCAATGTCTCGCGGTTACCTTCGTATCACGGGTTTCTTGCGCTTTTTTCCCGCGTACAGCCCCCCGGAGCCCCCCATGCTGGAGGCCGCGAGTTGGTGGGGGGACGCAGGGGGGCCCGAGGCCCAGGGCGCGAGCGGTGGCCCCGGGGAGAGAGCGCAGCCGTCTCTCGGCATCCTGGCGTGAGACGACGGGGGGAGGAATCCTTGCTCCATGCTAGCGTCTGCGGGGCTGAGCGCCAGCATGAACCCCTGCGCGGGGTCTGTGGCGTCACGGACCCCGCGGGTTCCCCGAGGCGGGTCCCTCGTTCCGCGACTCTCGGCGACTCTCACGGCTCAGCAGCGAGGCGAGGCTCGAACGGCGGCGGAGGAGCTGACGGCTGAGAGAAAGGCAAACAGGCAGGTAGAGAGAGAGAGAGAGGATCGTAGGCTTATTCGGGTGTCTCAAGTTGTGACGCTGGCGGATTTAAAGGCGGCGACGGCGGAGGCGAGGCCGCGATGGCGCACGCAGTGCACGGCGCGATGGGGCTTCGCCACGAAGGCGGCTCCGCGCAGACAGGCTAAGGACGGGGGGGGGGGCTCAGGGAGGAGGAGGAGAGACGGGGGAGGAGGAGGAGGCGGCCGCGGCGGCGGCTGCACAGGGGGCGGAGGACGCGAAGGAGGAGGAGAGCCGAGGCGCGCTCACCCCGGCAGCGCGGTCGCTCACGTGGGCGCGCGTGAACGTGACGCGGGATTCTCTTCCGCGAGTCTGAGCCGCGCCCCAGCGCGCTAACCCCGGCCAGGGGTGGAATCGTGCACTTGGTGTGGCCGACAGTGGGGTGCGGGTGGAACAGGGGTGGTGGACCCCCCGTTTTGAGAGAGAGGCCACCACCACCACCGCCACCAGAGGTGGTGCTCGAGGTGTCAACCGGCCAGCAACGATGGCGTGGCGCGCCTTGTCTGGGGAGCGCGCCGCCAGCGATGGAGGAGAATCCCCAGCGTTCGTGATGCTGCTGCTACTCACTCCCTCGCGATGGCTCAGGCGTGACAGCAGCGTGAGCTGTAGCGAGAAGGGAACTTGTATACTGCGTGTGCTGTCGTTAGTGTTAGTCGCAACAAGAACAACCACCAAATGCGGTTGGTAACTTCTGAACGGAGAGCCATGCGTTCTTTAAACTCGTTATAGGTTATTTGTGGTGGCGTTCGTACGCTTCATTGTAATCTGTGTTTAATGTCGCCGTTGATCGACAATGCGCATGTAAATATTGTTCAGATGGCATTATAATTATGTAAATAATGTTATCATCATTCATATAAATATATACATAATTCCCCGTGTTTGAGTGTGGTGTTGCGTAATCGGTGATGTGTGTATGGAAGCGTTCATTATTCCCAAATAGAGTCACAATGAGCTCATTAATGATGCACCGCAGAGACGAAGCCTGCACGTGACCTTGTGTTCATGGGCAAGCGGAGTGTCCGTTGAGATCAGTAGTCCTTAATCTCTGACTACGGACGATAACGGATTTTCTATTAAATATAGAAAATAATCCGTGCAACACAGAGCACAGTTGGAAATTCTATTTATAGTACCTAATATGCAATCGCAATATTACAATTTCGTAAAAAAATTGTTCTTAAGTAATGTCTTATGTTCTTGGTTCTTTCGGTAAAGTCACATAGAATGGAAATAATAAAATAATAAAAATAAAACATAATAAAATAATTATTTCCATTCTACGTGACTTTACCGAAAGAACTAAGAAGATGAATCCCTGCAGTCACGAAAGCTTTAAATCTAAATTTAATGTCTTATTATTATACCCATTTAATGTACGTATCATGTTTTTGTACGTGCATATATAAAACGTCTAAATAAATGTATGACGGTTCATACGGAGTCCAGCGGGTTCGCACAGCACGTGTCAACCCACTGACAATTACAAACCACCGCGTTCATCCACCACCCACACAATCGCGTTCACTGCCAACACCGTGGATGCGTAAAGAGTTGGTGGGGCGGTGGGGGGGTAGAAGCGACGTGGACGGGGTCACTGGGCATTGATTCACGGGGGCATTGGGTGACGAGGTCACGGTGCCTCTCGCCGCTTGCCGCTGCGTGGTGAGGTCACGGCCAGTGACCCTGAGACACGTCGTGCCAAGGCGAGATCGGCTCTCTCCCTGCGCACCGCCTTCTGCGGCGTCTCACTCAGCAAAGCCGAGCAACGCAGGTCTGTGTGTGTGTCAGTGTGTGTGTGTGAGCGTGTTTACGTGTAGAGCGGGGAGCGGTCGTGTAGCGGTTAGCGCGCTGTGCTACGAATACGGTGGCCCGAGTTCGATTCGCGCTCACGGCCAACACCAGTGATGAATATCTGAACCGGTCCCGGGCCTTCCCTAGGTCGACTCAGTGTCAAATGAGTACCTGGTGCGGTGTGTACTAAACATCGCCACTGGGAAGACAAAGGCGCTCGGGCGTGGTGCTGGCCACCCACCTCGTGTGCCGTTCCAGCCTTCATAGATGGCTCGCTAATAGCACTTGCCCCGACAGTCTGCACAGGCTATACGGGGCGTCTTTGTCCTAGGTATGTATATGGATGGCGACGGTTTTGCGGTAAGGCTACGGCGCTACGAATCCGGTGATCTGAGTTGGAGTCCAGTCCCGTGACGAGTCACATCTGAACCCATTCTCCAGGCTTTTCTTTTACGTCGACTCAGCCTTAAACGAGCACACCCGGTCGCGACGAGTAACTTCAGCCCGAGGGAGACAAAGGTGGTCGTGCGTTGCTCTAGCCACACCCCTCTCTCTTCGTGCGTCGTGCCGGCCTTAATAGGTGCTCGCTGACACCACTGGCCGGCTACACAGGGGACGCTTTTTGTTGTGTTTAGCTTATGTATATGTGTGTGTGTGCCTGTCTAGATATGTGTGTGTGGGTCTATGTATATATAGTTGTTTATGTATGTTTATGTATGTTCGTGTATGTGTGTTTATGTATGTGTGTTTATGTATATACGTGTTTATGTATGTTTATGTATGTATGGTATGTACTATGTTTATGCTTACGTGTGTTTCAATGTGCTTGTGTGTGTTTATGTATATGTATGTTTGTGTATGTTTGTGTGTATGTTGTGTATGTTTATGTGTACGTGTGTTTGTGTGTTTATGTATATATGTGTATGTTTATGTATATGTTGTTTGTGTATATGTGTGTTTGTGTACACATACAAACAAAAACATTCCAGACAAATGCGTCAGACTGTTGAGACAACCCCAACATCCATGCAGAACGCCTGACCCTTCAGAGTTGACACACACGCCGTGGGATGTCCCGTCCGTATGCGACTCAGACTTGTAACTGAGTACCCGGTGCACTGATGAAACATCAGCACTGGGGAGACAAAGGCGGCGTTGGCCAGCCAAGCTCCCCTCGTGGCCTTGATAGGTGCTCGCTGTTGCCTCGACAAACTGTTCGAAGGCTCTAACGTGGGGGACATTTCGGCTGCCAGGGTATGCGTGTATGCAGATATATGCTCCGATGAAGCGAAAGAAGTTCAGCGTTATTTCTATGTTTGTGTGTATTTACGTGTGACTGTGGGTTTACGTCTTCGTGTATGTGGTGACATACACGTGTGTGTGTACGTGCATGTGTATGCGTGTACATATGCATGTCTTTGTGTAAGTGTACGCATGTATAAATGTACATTTGAGTGAATATCCCACTGCTGTACGAACCGGGCTATATTAATTTTAGTAATCCCCCGTCACGGCTAACATCAGTGAACCGATCCCTGAGCCTCGCCACTGGGGAGACAAAGGCGGCCGGACGTGGTGCTGGCCACCCACCCCCTAATTCGCTGTGCCGGCCTTCATAGGCGCTCGCTAACAGCATTTGCTCGTTCAGCCTGTGGGGGATCTTTGTATTTGCTGTGTATATGTAAGGATATTTATGTATGTATGTGGTTTGGTTTGTTTCCCTATGCGGTGAATGCTGTGTTCGTTGTCCCACGTGTGTCTCTTAGCATGTCACTCCTTTACTCCTTCCTTTAACTCACACGTCATTTGTTTTTGTGTGTTTTTACTCTGCATGTTATGTGTCGTTGTTTGTAGTATAACAGTAAACATGTTTCATGAAGGAAAACGCCCAAGATAAGATTCGATTATGCATTCTTGAAACAAAATAAAAAAATTTGTATTGTGTATGCACTTTTGTGAAATAAAAAATGAGTTAAAAACTTAAAAAAAGAATAACGTCATTATCTCGGTGCGCTTAAGTTGGCAGGGCTGAGATTAATTACTGAGGCTGTACAAAGCCAGGAAGTTGATTAATTTGTTCTAATGGTCGATGTTTAGGGCCCAACGCAAAAACTGTTTGGATGACAACAACAACAACAAAAAGCCACTCCCGCTAGTGGCCTTGGTACTTGTAGAAAGCTCATTAGAGAAGGGGAGATGCATGTTGACTTCATTAACGTCATTAGGGGGAGATAATCGTGCAGTGGAAATGCATTTAAATGTGTTATTGAAATTGACCAAAACATCTGAATGCAGAACCCGATCAAAAATTAGTCTTGTTGAGGAATTTTTGAGTCTTGTTGACGAATTTCTCAACCGGTCCTGGGTGTTGGGACACAATTTTAACACAATTAATGGACTAGATGCGAGCTTTTTACAATAATAACTCACGACAAATACATTTAAAATAAAATAAAAACTCTCACTCCCCTCACCATTAACACCGCCCCAAGACTGTATGCATTTACTGTATATAGTACGCTAACGTTTCGGGGAATGGCCCTTTAATAGAGGGCCACTGGAGCTTTGCGCTTTTAAATCGAGATTGAAAACTAATTTCTTTAGAACTGCTTTTTGTTCAGTGTGTTATCCCTCCTCCTCCGCAGCTACGTACGGTGCGAAAGAAGTCCAACGTTGAACTTCCCTGGCAAATGTGCCATTGTTTTCTGGCATTGTAGATTTTAGAAAATACGCATGAAAGTTCACCCCACAAAACCTCTCTTTGTACCCCAGAGAAGATACAGTCCCCACCGCGGTAGCTTTGCGCTGTGAAACTGGCACCCAATACCGAATGTGTTTGCCGTTGCATTTGCTATTTAGGACAAAGACCCCCGTATAGCCATAACAGACTGTAGGGGCAAGTGCTGTTAGTGAGCACCTATGAAGGCCGGAACGGCACACGAGGGGGTGTGTGGCCAGCACCACGCACGGCCGCCTTTGTCTCCCCAGTGACGATGTTTACACACCGCACCAGGTACTCATTTGAGGCTGAGTCAACCTAGGGGAGGCCCAGGACCGTTTCAAATAATCGTCACCAGTGTTGGCCGTCAGCAGGAATTGAACTCGGGTCGCCGGGCTCATAGCACAGCACGCTAATCGCTACACTACCGCTCACACGCGCACACATATCTTTATATACACATATACAGGGCAATGATCCCCCTTATAGCCTAACAGACTGTTGGGACAAGTGCTGTTAGCGAGTAGCACCTATGGAGGCCAGTATGACACGTGAAGGTGTGTCCGGCCACCTTTTGAAACGTTTACACATCGCACAAGGTCGGTATTAGTTTGGGGCTAA